CCTATATACACATATATTTATATATATATATGTATATATATATATATATATATACTTATATATATATATATATATTTGTATACATGTATTATATATATATATGTATATAAGATATTTTCATTCGACATTTTCATTTTTGGTTAAGCATTACGGTATAGTAAATATAGTAAAATCAGGCCTATTATATATATTTCAGATATTTAGCTTGGCTTGGGGTGAGGCGATTGTATCCATTGAATTCATAGAATACCAGGGTAACCAAAAGGACTATGATGATAGTAATTGTGATTCATTCGGTGGCAGATGTGACATTTTATTCCAAATTTGCTTGGGAAAAACGATAAGGTAAGTAGTTCTAGACGGGATGAAAACATATATAATATGATGATTAGTGTGTTAATTGTTAGGTGATGATGATGATGATAATAATAGGGCTGATAACAAGGACGTTAAAAGTACTAAATAATATTATTTTTCAAAGGTTTACATGGCAAAGTAACAACAATACGTACTTGCGTACACCAGGTAGGAAAAAAATAAAACAAACTGTTGTTTTTGTTGTGCTTGACGTTTCGATTGAGTTGCTTCAGTCGTCATATCCTCCTGATGACGATTGAAGCAACACAATCAACACGTCGAGACATTAAGTTGTTTAAAAACGATATACGTGTTGTGTACACAATCATTTAGTATGATATTGATACTGATAAGGATGATAATGGTGACAATATTAATATTGATAATTTAAGATAATGCTATTAAATGTGATATTGTTGATTGACATTTATTTCAATTGGCTCGAGGTTTCCGACGAGGGGGCCGTTTCCCCCGACGAGGGGTCTGATTTCTCTGAAGAAAGCAATATGGGCGTGGTCGAGCTTCGATTAAAATGATTTGAAAGTGGTCCAGGGTGGCGAAGCCTCTGAAAATTTTAACAATTTAGGGGTTTAAAAGGCTTGTTAATCGAATTTAGAGTCTACTAATATGTAGAAAATACATAGGCCTATAATTTTTTTTCTCCCCGACGAATTGTGCTTTTTCTTCCCGATGGGGGGAGCACTCACCGCCCCGGGGGGTGGGGGGGCTGTGGCCCTGGACCTGCCCCCCCCCGCTTGCGCCACCCCTGCACTGATTGTGTTCAAAGGGATTAGCTATCATTCATTCTTTCCCTTCTTCTGACCAATTCATTATTACATTGATTACTCTCTTTAACAACTTTAATTTTTATTTTTCTATTTTAAGCCACCGCTACCTGACCAATGCCCTGCTGATAGAGCTGGGCCTATACTCCTTTCCACAGAACTTAGATATGATGGCAACGTGAGGCCATGACGACTATATTATAGGTCAATAATGAGGCCTACGGTATATTGTAACTCCAAAGATCATAACCGTTCTCACTTATTCAACAACCCACTTTTCATTTTTTCTATCAAATCTATCGATCACGCCATAGTTTTATAAAAATGATTCGGGTACTGTATTTTTGCATTCTTTTTTCCCCTTCGTTATAATCACAGCAATGGCGGGGACAGTAATATCGGGACATGTAATTACGGATCGGCGAACACTGGGGCCTTCGACAACAGTGAAACAATTCAATTTGGATCAAATATGGCTGGTGTAGACAACCCTTTTATCAACACGATAGACGTATATCAGGTAAGCGGTTGAGGAGACGTCCTAAATTATCAACAAATTCGATTCGAATATAATTGTTTTCAATCATCAAGTCGATTATCTAAATTAGTTATTTGCCCATATTTAATGTGTTGATTGCCGTATATTATTGGCATTTTGTTCGGTTTTGCTAAGACAAGTGTAATTCTAGTACAAACCATGAAGTGGAAGCATGCTCAGGTGAATGTACGAAAAAATGGACCCGGTAAAAATGGTCCCGGTAAGAAAGGCCCCGGTAAGAATGGCCCCGGTAAAAATGGGCCCAATAAAAATGGCCCCAAATGACAGGTAAGTAAAAATGGCCCCAATGATAAAATTTTGTATCAAAACTGATTTTTTAAAATCATTATATGCATATTTTTTATACTGAAATAATTTAGTTTTTAAAAAGAATCTAACATCAAATACGTTTCCATTTATATTTAATTTTTGGCAGGAATTACATATCCATAGATAAAAAAATAAGTCATGAATAACATTTTTTTATTTTATTTTTCATTTAAATGTTGAAAAATTGCAACGATCTAATCAATAAATCAACATAAATCATGCATTTGTTAATACTACAATAATTTAGTTCACGGAAGCGGAATGACAATCTGAACCCCGCAAAAATAAGTTGTTATGAACATCATTTTTTATGAGATAAAAAGAGAGTCCTACAATCATTACTAAAGGGTTTGGATGGGGTTCGCGGTGTGTTTTTGGAGGTTTGCGGTGTATTTTCAGGTGTTTTTCACAAAAATTTAGCATTTTAACTCAAGTTTTCTTTATTTAATATAATTTTGAAAAATGTAAATTGATTTTTTCTTTGAGTGACAGTTTACGAGTTTACAGTTTACGATTATGATTATGATGAATTTAAAAAGAAAGATTCAGAAGAAAATAAACATAAAACAACTTTCACATAATTAAGACCTGACTTCTTAAAATGAGTTACTGTATTTATCATAGGCATGTGGCCCAAACAATACATTATAACATAAGCTATGAAACAAATATTTAACAGAATAAGTTGCAACTAGCACTTTACAGTATAATTGTGATGACGACAGTTTGGTTTTTTTCAATCAGGACTTCATATCAATTTTAAAGAGCTCAGCGACTTCCTTTTCATGATCAGTTTCTTTGGGGACGTACTGCTATTACAGTACGGTAACACGGCAGGTTAGGCAAAACATCATTTCTATTGAGTTTTCTGACGCAAGCCCGTAGCCCGTTGCTACTTGGGTATGGAATTCAACTATAGCCACTAAGGGCGAGCTTGAAGGGTTTAGTGGTTATGATACCAGAATAATTATTCTGGAGGTCTTGGGTTCAATTCTTCCCCGAATCACAAAAATAACACGTGATAGTGAACAAAATAAATATTTCGATAAATATCATTTAATTTTCTTTAGAAACAGTATATTGGTAGGTAACTTCTCTAGACACTGATCGGGGTGTACAGAAAATAACTAGATGATCAGACAAACTAGACCGGGTTCAGTAAACAAAGTTTCGTAGGTAAAATTTCCAATATATGTGTACAGGTTCTTGTGGCATAGGCCTATATAGTAGGTACTTTTTAAAAACAATCGTGCATCCATCGATTGGCTGCAAGTCGATCAGGAACAGTAATGCACGGTACCCAAGAATAAATGGCAACCAGAAAAGAGTAAAACTCTAAATATATTAATTGAAAAGCTACCCTTTCTAAACAATTGCATAGTCTATCCTTCAAGAACTCAAAGAAGAAGAGGGACATATTAAGATAAACATAATTACCACAAAGAAGATTGAAGTTTGAAAGTCCACAAAACATTAAAAAAAAAAAAGAAAATGTCCTCTTTTAAATGTTCATATCTGTTTATTATTGAATATAATACTTGTTTTTAATTCCGGTATATTTTTAATAATCTGCATTTGTCACGGTACCAGTCTCTACTAAGAGGGTCTCAGAATTAGGGGTATGGCTATACTAATGTGGTGGTCACTAAGTTAAAGAAGTGGGCTCCATGTTAGTAGAGCCTCGGAATTAGAAAAGTATCCAAATTTGAAGGTGTAATAATTTTTTTTTTTGATTTTATGAAACATAGGCTGTATATTTTTTAATAAATAATATTCTAGTATAAATCTTAAATTTTAGGGAGATTGTTTTCTAAAAATCGATGTGTATGATAGCGATAATAATAATGATGACCTTGTTGACAAGTATCGCCAAGATATTGTGCAAGCAGCCGATGGTTTGTCGAGGCAGTACACGTTAACCGGTGAAAGAAGTAATGACAAGACAAAGTAAGTTCAGTATATACCCACGTAATATAATTATTGTGTATTTCCAAAAGGGATAAAAATGAAATAATAATAATAATAATATTAATAATAATAATAATAATAATAGTATTATTATTATTTTTAATAATGATAATAATAGAAATAATAAAATAATAGTAATAGTAATAATAACAACAACAACAACAACAACAATAATAATAATAATAATAATAATAATAATAATAAATAACAACAGCAATAATAATAATAATAATAATAATATAAAAGGA